AAAAATCTTTAGTCAAATTAATTATTGGTTCATTTTAAATTAAGCCTCTGGGAGATGATATAGTGTTTAAGTTTGGCTTTAAGTTTTCTTTTTTCATATTATAAAAAATATTTTAATAAAAAATTTAAAGTTCAATCATATCTGTCTAGACTCCATAAATAGAAACATTGATCAGGGTCTGGTCCTTGAGTTACAACTGTTTTTGAATGATTTTTTGGTCGATTCAGTTAGTTATTGATTCGGCATGATTAGTGTATATTTTTAAATGTGATAAATATTCTATAAATAATTTTATCATTGTAATGTCAACACATTCAACATTGTTAAAATTCAATAAATCTTGAAAAAAATATAAGGCTCTGAATATAAATTAGACTTTGTAGTAAACATAGTACACATATAAATACTAATATTAGAAAAGTTAGATATAATTAAAACTGGTTTAAAGTATAACTTGAGATCAATATTTTAATATTTGCCAAAAATGTGCTATGAAAGTTTCCCAATACATCCATATCTTTTAAAGTGCTTGAGAACTCAACTTATAGAAGATTTACTAACACCTAAGTGTTTAGCAATTTTTTGAACTGATAAGCCCTTTAATTTTTTTCTATTTGCCAACGAAGATGCTTTAAAATTGATCTATTATACTGAAATCAATCTAATAACATATAATTTAGAATGATAACAGATATTGTATGAGTGCTTTTCCAATTCCTTAATTACACAATTGATACAAATGGTATACAGGGATGGCATTTTCCACATTTGGATTTTGTCTGAAACAGACTCGGTGTTGGTCTCAAAATGTTTGCATAAAGTCAACTCTAGGACCAGCTTAGCTAAATAATCAATAGCCAAATTTTTTAATCAAAAATAGCTAATTGATCTTTTACGAATAATCAATAAATCATGCAAAATAACCTGCATATTGCCATTGTGAAACAATAGCAATATGCAGGGTTCACACATATGTACTAGAATTTCAATATAGCAATTATATGCATAATTATTCTGCAGATGATGCTGATAAGACAGCATAATGATAAGAGTGTCAAATTCTTGTACGTAATTATTATTATGTGAATATAAGACTATTCCTTAATTATATTATTATTAATGATACGTATTCTTTCATCTTCTTAAATTATATTATTGGTTTATGAAGATCAATTTTTTTCTAAGTTATTACTGTAAATCATTATATACAAGACCCTTCATGATAGTAGATCCACCACATAGTAGACCCGAGTGCGAATCATGGGATCTATATTAATCAAGCTCAATTTTTTTCAGATATTTAGACAGTCTATTATAAATTCAAAATGTGCATACTCTTTAAATTTTTCTCTTAATAACTTGAACTCTTGGCTGTATACTACGTAGACCCAGGTCTATTATGGTTTAAAATTGGTGAAATGTAAGAGACCAGATCTTGTATATTGGTGAGTTACGGTATTAAACTAAATTGAATATTTCATGACAATTGTTTTTCACTCATTTCACAATAGTGATATTGTTTATTTTTAATTAAGAAAGTTAGTTTAATATTTTTGTAACAAAATATAAAAGTAAAAAAAACTATTGAAATATTTAGCATAAATTTATAGTAACAATAAATCTAGCTTCTGTAAATTTAATTATTTTATTCGTAATAAGTATTCAACTTTTAGCTTTTGATAATGCATTCAAATTTTAGCAGCATTTAGCTTCTATATGCTGTTAATACACCAAAACACTGTAAAAGCCAAAAGTTATACACTTTAAAACTAATCAAAAATTGTAGCAATATATAATAGTGTAATAACTCTATTGTTGCATATTTTTTTTTGCACTATTATTTTTAGCATTCTTTCTCATGATTATGTATTTTGGCGATATTTATAAAGATTTTAAGATGGATATATCGTATTGTCATGAAATAATGTCACATACATCATTTTAAATATATGTGCAATATTTGAAATATGCGCATAGACAACGAAAATAATTTTTCTGAGCCTGGATTTTCAAATTATTATATACCTATATAGAGCGATATCTTATATAGAATGCACATTATTTTAGAATATGCATGGGCGTTATTTTGAAATCATCTATGCTATTCTCATTGTCTAAATAATGCCCATACCTTTTATTTCGCAACAATATGATATATCAATACTAGAGCGTCTAGACTTATGCGATTTTATTGTTCAAACAACGAACAATTTCTGAAATCGCATAAGTTTGAACACTCTAATCGATACAATTTATATATAAACACACCATATTACTAATTACTCTTAACATTAAAAACTTTATATTAGAATTTAAAAATATGACCAATCAGACATATGATCATACTAGTCCAAATAATAATAAAGTTATAGCTTTACAAGATATTTCAAGTGCTTCTGAAGAAGAATATTCTGATCAAGTAGAATTATCGTCAACATATGAAAAAAAAAGAAAATATGCTGGAAAGAAAAAAGATGATAAAGTATGGAATGATGTTATTAAAGATGATAATTTAGGGCAGGGATTTTATAACGCGAAGTGTAAGTGATGTGCTACAAGTTGGTTAATAGGGTGTCCACATGAAATGAAAGTTCATTTAGCTAGAAACTGTGATAATGCATCCGAAAACATAAAAATCAAATGGCGAGACTCTTTAGTAGAAAAACTTCAAGACCAATAGCTCGAGCAAAAAGTTCAAAGCAATCAAATATTACTACACATTATTAACAGATTACACCTATTTCTGATACTAAGGCTAATCAACTTGATCAAGCAATTCTTAAAGCGTGGGTATGTTGTAGATTTCCTTTTTGTACAATAGAAAATTCATTCATTATTAATCTTTTTAAACTCGCTATTTTAGGATATACTTTACCATCACGCACTACTCTTTCTGGCAGACTTTTGGATCAAAAAACTGCTAGGATTAAAAAAAAATTTGAAAATAAATTGGAAAAAGAGAAAAATATTACGCTTAGTAAGTTTTAATTTTAAAAACAATATCTAAATAGCGTTATATTTCATATCATACTGCATAAAATATTTCCAAAAAAAATAGTATCCTCTTGATCAAGATTTGGGTATTATTCACTGCTTATCTTGAATAATATCTGAAGTATAACTATATTTAATTTATTATTTTCATATGATATATCCCCTACATATAGTATTTGGTTCCTCATACAGTACTCACGGGTACTATTCAATTTAAAAAATAGAGGTCTTGAATAAGACCCTGGGTACTGTATGCAGTGCGATTAGAGATGGGTTTCATGCTTGCATATGATTGAGGAATCATGCGCATTAATGCATATTCATGCGTATAATACCGTTTCATGCACATTTTATCCCATCAAAATTTCTTTTCTCTCGATCGTTTTTGCTTTTTTTATCATGCAATATCATACGCATAAAACAATTTGTATACATTAATATGCATTCATGCGCATTTTATTATAAAATGTGCATTTTTCCCATCTCTAAGTGCGATATAGTAAAATTTCTACATACTATATTAAAGAGTTACAGATTAACTTCCTAAATTCTATTTTTCTAAAATACCATTTTGCCAAAGCCATAATACTGGCAATTTATTTTATTGGCAAAGTACAATTTGATATTTATTGTGACTACTATTATTACAGCATATTTGTCAAATTAAGCCTAAATTTAAATATCAAATTTTATATTAATCGATTAGCATTAAATCTTAAAAAAATTTTTATATTTATAAACTATACTAATAGAGGCATTTAACCTAAATTATAATTAATTTATTTAGGCATGGATGGGTGGACATCTCCAAGAGGAGATTCGATCTATAATTATATTGTTACAATACAAAAGCGAAAAGAATATTTGATAAAGCTTAAATTATATAATGAGAATCAGACTGGACAATTTATGGCAACTGAAATTAGAAAAGTATTACAAAATATTGGACTTAAAAAATTTGCAGCAATTGTAACAGACCACAGATCTAATTTAAGAATTGCACATCAACTTATATATAACAAACATCTATCTATTTTAAATTTTAGATGCATATTACATACAATTAACTTAATCGCTTCAGATTTAGCAAAAATCGATTCTGTTAAAATAGTTATAGCTAATTGCAATAGTATTTTGAAATTTTTTAATAGATTACATATTGCAAATAGTTATTATAAAGAACAAATAGCAGCTATGAAAATAAAAGGTGGTGAAATTCAATCATATACTAAAACTTGATAGAGTTCTTTGTATACTACAACAGATTCTATAATTCGATCAAAACCTGTATTTGACTGGGTAAGTAAATAATATTTATTATTTTTTACTATAATGAAACAATCTGGTAAATTTAAGTTTGTTAAAGCAGTCCTTAAGTTCAGGTTGATTATTTATATTACTATTTGCCACTACATGCAGTATTCTTTAAAAATAATACCCTCTTAACTAAACCCCAGTATTACGCATCACCCTTCTAGCTTAATACGTACCTGGAGTATAACTATACGAATTTATTACTATTCATATAATATATCCTCAAATATAGTACCCACTTTCTCCGGTTCCTTATACAGTTACCCACGGGCACTATTCAATTTAAAAAATGAAGTTTATAAATAAAAACTAATATTAAATTTTTATTAATTTTTTTTATAGCTTTTAGAAAATCATACTGAAATTATTTCAAATAAGGCTGTGTTTGATTTACTTCAAAATGAGGAGTTTTATTCGAAGTGTCGTCAAATAGTATCTATTTTTAAACCAGTAAAAGAATTAACTAATATTCTTGAAGCTTGCAATACAAATTTAGCAGAATGTTTTATTGGTTTAACAAGACTTGTGACTAGTATTAATAGATTAGAGTCAGAAAATCAGTAGAAAACACCAATGATCAACAATTTTAATCGCCATTCTGAAGAATTTATTAATGATTTCTATATATTAGCCTATTAGCTTCATCTGTTATATCGTGGTAATAATAATATATATACATATGTTGTACATCAATTTAAAATATGCATTAAATCAAAATAATTATATATAATATTGCTATGTAATACCTATCCTTACCCTAATGAAACTTTATTAAAATTTTGATTTAATACAAATTTCAATTTGATGCAACATAAGTTATACAACAGAATAAAATCTAAGTAAAATTCAAATCTACATAGTGAAGATTACATATATTAGCTTACAACTTAGATTTTATTCTGTTCTATAATAAATATTTTTTTAATATTTAATTTTAAATTTATTCAAAATTTTATTTATAGATCGTGGATTACAACAAAATGCATTAAATAAAATATATAAAACTGCATCACTCATTTGGTATAATTTTAAGTATACAGAAGCATCGTGTTTAAGTCTTTTATCAGAAATGAGATCATGGAAGCATAAAGAACCTCAGTATAATCTTAGTTATAATCAATCTAAAGAAACGCCACTGAAATGGTGGATGAGTGTGAATGTAGATGTAGAAAATGATCAATTACAAGAACTTGCTTTATTTCTATTTTCAATTGTTCCATCCTAGGCGGTCTGCAAAAGAAATTTCTCTACACTAAAATGGCTTTTTAGAGATAAGCATACACAATTAAGTTTATTACGAATTGAATCCATAGCAAAGATTAGATCTATTTATGTTTCAAATACGGATAAAGAATTGAGGGTTTATGGTAAAGATGTAAATGATAAAGACTTAAGAAAAAATTTAAATAACTCTGTAATTATGCAGCAAACTAAAGATTCAGAAATTGAAGATGAAAATAATAATGATTCGCAACAAATATTGACTAATAATTTAAATCTCAGTCAAATCGTTGATTTAACTTTATCCGAATTTTTATCAACTAATATTACTTATTTGAATCTGCTATTAATAGATTATCTTTTTACGAAAGGGCTTATAATTTAGAACGTAGAGAATATAATCTGATTCTGTTAGCATAGCAAAAGATAAATAAAGAAAATAATTTGTAATTCATTAGATATATCAATATATTTTTATTAGATATATTTTTTTGTGTTTAGAATATATTATCATTATTAAAATTATTAAAATTTGCTTTTTGAAAAATTATATATGTATGGTAGTACGAATTTGGTTGGTACATAGCAAATTGGAATTCTGGAAAGTTTTAATAGAAATTGTGATTTTTTTAGAGTTGTATATCAAAGTTTGGATATACATTAGCATATTATAATTTATGCAATCTTGCATGCAGCATTCTATTTTAGTGTAATAAATCTTATTTATCGCTAATACTAATATCAATATGATTAGACGAATGATAATGATTTTTCATTATAAGTAGTGTAATAATTCTATTTTATCATAAATACAAATTCAAATAAAATTGATCAAAGGAAAATTCTATTTTCACCCAGGTTAGAGTCACCCGATATTATATTATCTAATTACAACTGTTTTTATAAATTTTGAGATATCCGGTAAAAATTGACCGAATGATTTTAGGCCGATTCGATAAGTTTATGATTTTGGCAATATGCAATTATGTATAATATGCATATCTTCGACTTTGTGATTTTGATAATGATTTAGATAAATAATGAAATAAATTATATAATATACATATCACTATTTTTATTCTTGCTAAATGACATTCTCAAAGCATATTCATTGGACAATCGTTGAAAAATATTTGGAAGGCCTAACAGTTCAGATAATTGCCAAACATCTAGATGTTAGCAGGTCTTCCATAAATCAAATCCTCAAATATTTTCAAAGATACGGATATGTTAAAAAGCTTCTAGCACTTTTGGAAAGACCACGTTTATTAAATTTGAATAATATAAAGTATTTTAAAGCTTTATTGAATGAAAAACCCGATTGGTATTTGTATGAATTACAATCAGAGATGGAGTGTTGGTTAGGACATAAAGTTAGTTTATCGACAATTAGAAGAATTCTACATCAGCTAGGATATACAAATAAACAATTATATATTTTAGATATATATGCCATAAATTATAAATTATAATAAAATTCAATTTCTTCAATGTTCCTGAAGTTTTTTATATTTTTGAAATCATATGGAATTGCTAATGCCCCATTGAGTTTTTTATCAAATCGATCGTAACACACTAGTATAACAAATGCTAAAATAAAATAAAATTAAATTTAAAAATAAGCTTATATAATATTAAATATATAAAATATATAACGTATCCTACTTTTAGCTTGTTTTTTTGGTGCAATAGTTTTTGATTGGGTTGCTGTTTTTTCAGATAAGTTGGATGTTGCATTAGATTTAGTTGCTATCACTATTGCTTCAGCCAAGTCTGGTAATTTAGATTCAGCTACGATTACTTCAGACAAATTAGGCATTTGTGAAATATTTGTTACAGATGAACAAGCTAAAGGTTCTTTAATTATCAAGTCCATTATTTCAACATTTTTGTCTGATTCATACTGGTTTTCTTTTTGGTCTATATTTTATAATAATCATTATATATTAAACCTTTTAAATAAATAACATAATGCTCAAAATTTTACTTTGATTTTGTTGATTATAATTCTCAACGCAGCTTTGACAAATGTTGATAAAATCTTGGTTGTTCGGAATTATAACTCAATTAATTTGTTTTTAATCCAGTCACTAAATTCTCGATCATTACGAACTTTTTTTTATTAGCACCTACTCGTGTTATATATTTATT